CCTCTCATCTTTTTCTGTCAGCATATCTGCCTGAGCAGACTGAGGACTTCGGCTGTTGGCGGGGGATTTCCATGGGTCTGGCAGCAGAAGCTCAGGCTGGACTGCCAGATAGCAGAGATCCTGAATGTGCTAATTGTGTGCATGCAAATTACCTCTGTCCTGCAGGCTTCCGGGATCTAAAACTCCATCTCTATGTTCCAGCTGAAGGCCCCTCCCCAGTCTAAATAGCTCTTGGAAAATACTCTTTATTACTGCCAGGTTTCCCTTCCCCTGCCAGGGGTCCAGGTGCCCCTTGCAGCCGTGTTCTCTGGGAATGGGTCATGGCTCGAGGGCAGCACGAGACTCACGCTACCCCTCGGGATCTGCAGTGAAACCCTACGTCTGCCTTCCCATAGAAAAGTGCCAAGTAACAGCAGCTCTCCTGTCCACAGGGAGCAAACGGAGTGGGAGCGCCCCGAGACTGTCAGCTCCTCTCAGCCCACCCGTTGTGTGAGAGGTGAGACAGTGAAGGGGGAGATGTTACGTGAAACCATGGCCTGTGTATACTCACAGCTGAATGCAATCTAGAGAGTTCATGTGAGAGGCTTTCCAGAATGCCCATAAATCTCCAGAAATTCAATAATAAAACAATTTTTCAGTACCTTCTTCACTAAACGCCAGAAGACCTGAGCAAAATAACAACGAGCAGGCACAAGATGTTCTTAAGAGCATCCTTACGTGCTTTGCTTAGAGCTATCAGTGGGAATTTAAGCACCTTATGTAATGGGCTTTCTCCTCTAGCATCTGCCGCTGTGCAGGAGGATGACTGGGGAGGGGAGGTATTGGCTGAAGAGGGGGTTTCTGGGGCTTTGACAACCGCCCGGCTTCCTAGGAAGAGTCACGTCTACTGGAGGAGCAGGTCAGGCTGATTTTGCAGAGTGCAGCAGCAGCATTAGCTCTGTAGGGCTTATCTGCAGGGAGGAATCTTTACCGAAAATAACCCATCCGTTGTGTTAGATAGCAGCGTTTTTGCCATGTTTCAGGGATTTAAGTTGGACACCAGACAAGATTAAAGACTGCTGTGAACTCTTCACCCTGACTAATTGAGACTAACCTTTGGATGGCTTCTTGGATACACTGTGATTTACTTTTCTCTCTTCTAAACACGTGTACCTCGAAGTGCACGGTCTGTCTGTCTGATAAGCAGGAGGGCTTTGTACAGAAGTCCTCAAGCTATAGACAAGAGGAATAATTTCCTGGTTTGGGCTTTTTAGCATCACTTCTGCTGAGCAATGTGTGGTGAGTAAGGCTTTCGATTTTGCTGGCAGCTTTGAGGTGCTGAAAGACTGACAGCAGGTTCTGTCTCCCGCTCTTTTTAATCTGACTTTATTATTAGAGTAGTATCTGACTATCTTGCAGCTTCCCCTGTCATTCTGTAGTCAAGGCAAGGTGTGCCCAGGGATGGTATTTAGCTTGTCCCTAATGCAAGTCTTTAATCTGCACTTTTTTAAGCTGTACTTCCTTAAAGCCACATCACTGACAAAGAAGCAAGTAGAGAGGTCTGTTGGACCGACATCTCTCACCCTCAGTGCTGAAGACAGAGTAACCCCTTTGCAAGGGCCCAGACTGCACTTGCACCGAGGGGGTTGGAGCCCACCACGTGCTCCTCTGAGACGGATATGGTGAGGGTGCTTGGCGGGGGCCAGCGATCCCCCAGCTCAACAGCTGAGCCAGAGCATCGCCAGCAACTGAACCTGTTCTAAGAGCCATCTTGAACTAGTGACCCTCATCACCATCACACTGGCTGGGGGCTGAATCATACCAGGCCAGCCTTACAGGGATCAGGTTGACCAGTTTTATATTAAGCCACCACATATGTGCAGCACATGAGTGGCTGTTTAAAGAAAGCCTCTTACTTTCCCTCCCTCCCCCCGCTTTGAAGGCTTATTTCTTTTGTCGCGTGTCATGGGGGCTGGCAGCAGGTTCAGAAAGTCTGAGCTCTCCCAGCTCAAGGTCACTGGGATTGTTTAAATATAATCTCCTTTTCTGTGCTTAGACTTTCCTACAACTTGCTATTCTGTCCTTCTAAAATTAAACTATTGAGCAAAAGGGACTTTACGTGCACGCCTGGGAAGGGAACAAGCAAGCAGCAGGCTGGACCCTTTGTCAGGGTGCGTGTCTGCGTGCGACCGGGCCAGGGCTGCAGAGCCAGGCTGGCAGCGAAGAGCTGGGGCTGCCCTTGGTGCTCAGCTGGGCCCTGTGTGAGCCGCTGCAGCGGTTCTGCCGTTGAGGTGCGGAGCACGGGCCTGCCTGAGGGAGTGAAACCAGTCAGCCTAGGGGTGAGCAAGCCCTCCGTGGGGACTGGGTCCTGGAGGTGAAGGAGATGAAGGAAAAAATGCCCTAATGCTTCTAAAAAGATCAGTTGTTTGGAATGTTTTGTAATTTTTTAAAAAATCGTTTTCAAGGTTTCTCTCTGCAACCAGGAAGACTTGAAAATAAGAAGTGAAAGCTGGGGATTCCTGCTTGCAGGGGTTGGAAAGTTTGAGCATTCCAGCTGCTTGCACTGGCCATTTGAAGTCAGGGCTACGGAACTGGCTGTGGTGGGAAAGCTTTGCTTTCCCGAGGAAATCTCCATCCCTTCCACTTCACTGATTGACCTACTAATAGCACTAATAAGTTACTGGTTACACTGGTGTCATGGGATGGATAGGGAAGGGAGGTGATACTGGGGAACGTGACTTCTTGGCTTATACTGGGATCTGGAATGACGCTGCTGCTTAGAACAGGGGCTGTGTAATCGGGGATGTTTTCTTAGTGGGGAGTGGTGGGGGTGAGGAAATGTTTCAAGATAATTCAAGAATGGCATCGCTGTAATCCCGCTTACTCTTAAAACCATGTAAAAGCATGAAATGGGATAAATGTTTTAGTAAGAGACATTGGCTTTCCTTTATGCTCAGTGGGGAAACATTAACTTCCCTGCTTCAGGGAAAACTGGAGCAAAAGAAAGCAAAACTTCCTTCCGTGTTCCGCTAAAACGGACCCCACGTCTGCCCCCAGTCGCTGTCCCTTTCAGAGCTGCGCGCGTGGCAGAGTGCCCTTGTGACAGTGCCGAACAGAGCTGCTTCTGTGAGCTGCGGCAGGGGAGGGGAGTTCAGGGGGTGCTGAGGAGATCACGGACGATACGAAAGACTTGGTTTGGTTCTGCTGTTACCAGCCCAGTTTGGCTGGGGCTCTTTGGGCAAACCTGTACCACCTTCGAGATGGACTGTTTGAGCTGTAGAAACCCATTCCGGTTTCAGCGCGGATGATCTGAAGCCCTGGGTTTTCTGTCCTTCGGGGCCCAGGATCAGGTTGGGAGCCCCAGGAGGGCAGATCTCTTTTCACTGGGGTCTTTGTGCTTCTGGCGTTTATCCAAGGGGAGATCGTTCCGGAACAAGCTTTTTGGGGCAGTCTTACTCCCATGTCTTGGTGGTGCAGGTGTGCAGAAAAATGGCTGCTAATACCCAGCATCGGCTGGGATTTCTGTGCTTTTGTTATTCTGCTAACATTAATAATAGAAGAACAGGAAAATTTACCCAAACTTCATTAAACTCTGGCTCTACTATGGACCTGCTTTGTGCTTACTGCTCATTTAAATTCTTGGCCGCTCCTTGAGTCAGCTGTGTTTTGTGTTTCACCCGGTTCCGGGCATGTGACAGAAGATGCAGGATGCATTTCTTAGACATCTGCCCTTTCTTAATTTATTCTTTTTCTTTGCTCCATGCAACAGTTACTAAAAATGGAAACTATGTGCTTACTCTTTGTGGTACCACCTACAAAGCTCCAAAGGTTGGGGCTGCTTCTAGCACCGTCACAGCTAAAATCAAAAGTCATGCGTCAGACCTCAAAGGCATGAGTCTGGATTAAGAAAGATGCCATTGTTAAAGGACATTCAGCAACATTCCAGTTTGATTTAGAGTCGGAAGTGGGATTTAAGAATCTAGAGGATTTCAAGGTTTTTGTTTCTCTAAACAGTGAGACACGCTTCTGAGTTTCCCCTTCAAATAAAAGTTGAAACCCTTTCCTATAGTTTGATTCAAGGAGTCAGTACTTTAGGAAAGAGGCCAAATATTGTGAAATTTGTGATCTCATTGTGAGAGTAGGCAGCAGTAAGGTTTGCTTAGGCAAAACTTTCAGGGAAATTCCTGGGTATCTGGGCTAAATATCCTGGTTTTGTTTATTAACCGCAATTGCTGCAGGCTTACACTGGAAACATTTGAATGGGGGAGAGAAATGCCACAGCTCAATTCTGTGTCAGGAAATACCAGATCATTTCATGCTTTCCAGTCTCTTGTATCTTTTGTGTCTGCCTGATCTAAACCTTATCACTTTGGGGGCTTTGGTGTATTAAAACACACGAGGAGTTCTGCACAAATAGCTTTTCAAGCAAGATACAGGCAAGGCTGGTTCTCTAATGAAGGAAAAATTACTTGAGGAGGAGGTTGCTATCTCTTTGTCAAAACATTTATTTTTTTCCACAAAAGATGTAATTTTCCTCACTGTTTTTACTTTTCACTTCCCGACTGAAAAGCCAAACATCTTTATCTGACATTTTTTCAGGTTTAGGCCTGTTTTCTTTCTGAGTGCTATTTTTAATTTAGAAGTTAAGCTTTCATTAGTAACTTTTCAAAAACACTGAGTGAAAACTTTCCACAAGGGGAGAAGAATATTTCAGTCCCCTGTAATCCTAACTTAAATACCGGAGAACAACCCTAACGTCCTAGTGACAGCGAGCACGGCCGAGCCTACGCCTGCTCTCCCCTGATGTGGGGAGGGAGAGCAGCTGCGGAGCGCTGCCGGAATCTGCCGCGTGGCCGTTCCTGACCCAGTGATTCTGGAGAGATGCACCACCAAGACGAGTAAATCATGGGTCAGACCAGGCAGTGAGTCAGTGGTGCTATTTAAAGTACGTCAGAATAACTAGTGACGGTCTTATTTATATATGTTTATTAAAAAAAAATTATCATCTTGTTTTTCTGCAGAGAATACCAGAGGAGCTAACCTTAGATGCCTTACTAGAAATGAATGAGTCCAAGGTGAAAGAAACGATGAAGAGATGTGGTGCCAGAGATGAGGAGTGCTCCAGGCTCAATGGGGCCCTGAGCTGCTTACGGAAGGTGACTGCATCAGGTACGGGCTGCCTTGTTGTTCTGTGCAAAACTAGTTTCTGGGCAACCCGGCCCCCATCCTGCTTCCTTTCATATGAGACAATCTGCAAAAGCCACTAGAGAATGTCTTTGGGTGTATTCTGTAACCAGGGTCAGGTTGTGGCTCTTGGATGTATGTGAAGTTGCAGTGATCAAACGCATCTAGAGCTGGGGATTGGATTTGCTTTTGACGGCACGTCAAATAAATGGATGGAAATGAATGTTTGTAGAAATCTCTCTCCTGCTCATCAGAATATATCCTGATTCCCTCGCTGTTCAGAGTTGTGTCTAGTGCTCCAGTTAATCCTCCATCATCCAATACCCATAGCTGTGACCTAACAAATCCAACCAGGTTTCTTGGAGGTAATCCCCTCCCCAGATATTACCAGCTGAGAGAGAAGGTGTAATTCTGGTTGGCATTACTTTGCCCGGAAGCCCGAGTGTCGCTCGGCTCGGTGCTTTGGAAGAGGAGAGCATTGCTCTATCAACCCTCCATCGCTGCCTAGCTCGTGGCGTGCCAGCTCATTCACTGCTCTTTAAAACCACTCGCCTCCTGCTGCTTCCCTTGGACTGCTAGGACCCATCGAATCATTAGCCACATCCAACAGCAGATTCAAGAGCTAGAAAGAGCCCTGATTTACCTTGAATTTACGGAAACAAGGGTACTGTGGAATTAGAAATGCGTGTGTTCAGCATGCACATGGATCTGACCAAGTTGTTTAAGATCAGTCAAGCTCAGGATTCCCATCCTCCCCAGGCTGCTCGCAGAGGCACTGCACAATCTGCTTGTGCCAGAATGTTTCTCGCAGCACACTGGTACTAACGTGCATCAGATCTTTCTTTGTAGCAATTATCAATCTGGCCCTGAAAGGTGATGTTTCCTGTTGGTATTATGACAGTTCACACCATTTGCAAATCATAAAGATTAGTTAATGGAAAAGTCAGCAGACAGCTCAGTTTGATATTTCCTTTTTTCTAATCTTTCTTGTCCTGGCTTGTCAAATATTTACCAGCCATACTGTGGCAAAACCAGCCATTGTTCAGAAGTCATGACATCCACTTATTAAAAAGAAATGGCATTTTTAAAAATCTAGGTATATGATCTTTTTTCAACCACTCACTGATCAACAGGACATCAGGCCCTGAAGCTTTGACTTTTCACCTTGATTTAAGTCATTGAGGACGTACTTATAATTAAGCCAGGGCGTTATCCTGATGCGTTAAACCTCTGAAATTATCCCAATAATCTGTGTATTCCCGCTTTGCTGCCTGTAGTCCTTTGTACTTTTTTCCCCATGTTTATACCCAGAATTGGTCTACAGGCAGTGCTGGACCTTTTGGAGCTGCAGTGCCAGGCATTGCAGCAGGATGTGGTGGTTCCTCTTTGTCCAGCGTCTGTCCCTGGGGCAGCTCTAGCCAGCACTGTCTGAACAAACGCAGCAGCTCTGTGCCGAGCGCTGCCGCCTGGAGCAGAACAGCAGCGCCCGGCGCTCCGGGTGCCAGGGGGGCTCCAGGCACTGGTTACGTGCCGAGAGAGAAAAGTGACCACAGGAGTATCAGGAGCTCCTAGATAGTCCCTGTTTCCAATGGAATGGCCTGTCTCGGTTTAAGTGGTGTTTAGCAGTTCCGTTGGCTAAGAGAAAATAGTTTCTTCTTTTCACCAAGGAGCAGCCTTAAAGCAGACAGGGTGCCAGGCTGGATGTACAGAGCTGTCTAAACAGATTGGCACCAAATCCACGTGGGTTTGCGGTGGGATGTGGGCGCCTGTTTCACGTAGGTACGTATATCCCACGTTCTTCAGCCAATCTGTTAAAACTCAGCCCATCTTAGAACATAGGACCCGATTTTAGCTACAGAGCTACAGACAGGAACGAAGGGTAGTTACTGCCATTCTCATTGTAAAGGTGATTTAGCTGGTGGATGTCAGGGGAGGAGAAGTGAGCCTTGCACCCTGGCTAGGTGCAAAGCAGGGAAAAACCCACCCTACAGCCCAAAGCAGCACGATGGGGCGTGTGAGTATGCATTGGCTTTTCTTTCTAATCAGTCACTAACGTTTCTACGGTTGGCGAACAGGGGGGGAGTTAAAAGATGACGTGCTGGTGACTCTTTCTGAGGCACGGCGAGAGAACAGCCCTGCGACCGCCGCGGAACCGCCCTGCTCGTGGGCACCTGCCGCCCTGCACCTCCCCAGGGGCAGCAGCCAGCAGCCACGCTCCGTCTCCGTATCTACAATCCCATCTGCTGATTCGCTTGCCTCAAGTCACGGACCTTCTATCTATGCAGAAAACCTCCTGGACCCTTTTGCATTCCCCGCACACAGCGGAAGGTTAACGCCAAGGACTCCTCACAGCATCACCATCACTCCACCCACCACTCCGCAAGCCAAGAGGCGGCATAAGTTGAAGCCACCACGGACTCCTCCTCCCCCTTGCCGGAAGGTTTTTCAGCTGCTACCGAACTTCCCAACCCTCACGAGGAGCAAGTCCCACGAATCACAGTTGGGAAACAGGATAGATGAAGTCCCTCCAATAAAGTAAGCACGACACTTCCTCCTTCCCCAGGGCCACTGGCGGGCTGTGCTCATGCCAGAGGGCAATCCATGCCCCAGTTCTGGCTGTGGAAGAGCTGGTGTCCAGCTGCCTCCTCATGGTTTCACTGGAGTCTGAGAATCTCTATCACTGGGATATTCTAATACAACCACAAAACCTGCTTGTTAATAGTGTACTTGAAGTTTATTTGAAATGGCACCTGCTGGGGAATTTGGGATGGCTGCTGCTATTAAAGGGCCCCAACCGGTTTTCCTCAAGCATCTAGTAGCCAATTTCACATACTAGAATTTTCTTCTGTCCCAAATGTTCCTCACAGTTCAGGTGTTGGTATCTCTTTATGTTTTTATTTTAAGATGTATTTTAGCTGCTAGTGTGAGCTTTAAAACGCATTTATTCCAGTATAGACAACTATAGCTCTACAACAAGACAAATGGTCTTAGGCTACACCTTTTTTTTTTTGGACTGATCCAGGCTTCGAGAGGTACATTTTTGTGTGGGTAGGATGGAAGGTATTAATCTAGTGTTTAACTAATAGCTGAAACTGGGAAAGAGACGTGTGTTCCAAAGACAGGCTACCCCTCAGCATCACAGAGACTGAGAGCAGCATCTGAGTGCTGCAGCAGGCGCTGGATTGTTACAACTTAGACTCTCTGACCCCCTGGAAGAGTTCAGAGAGCCTGTTCTACTCAGGACCTTTCTGCCAAAATTGGGTTTTTATATAAGGGAAACAGCTCAGAATGGAGTTGAGCTGTTGGGTGTGAGCATTAACTTTTGGTGCTGCAGTGCTGTGTGGCTGCGGGTTGAGGTGAAGGAGTTTGTTGTCAGTGTGCCGCCCTGTACTCGGTGCAGTGTTCTTCCACCCGGCCAGGGCAGGGGAAGCACCCACGAAAACCTGCAAATCGCTGAACATCCAGGTGCAGCAAGCAAGCACCTGTGGCCAGTGCGCAGCTTTGGTTTGAAATTCAGTGGCAAGAACCTGGTTCTGCTGTGATCCAGGTCCTATTGATTAAGCCTGACAGGCAGAATGTCTCGTTGCTGTGATCCAGGCATTTCCACGGAGCCTGCGGGGTGGCTGCCTGGCCCAGCCCCCTTAACGCTTCTCTCCACAAGCCAGAACTCAGGTGCACTCCTGTGCGCTTCCCTCGCAGGCTGGAGCTGGAGCTCTGCCCAGCAAGAGCTCCTGTTTGTAGGCAGGAAAATACTGGGCATGCAGCAACTCCAGGAGCCTGTGCAAAATCACAGATGTTTGTAAACATGACGTCAAACACTGCAGGGAGGAGTTTCTGCTCTAGCAAAGTGTGTATCCCGTCACATGAATATGAATGTCTAAAAAAAATTATTTCTCTTTTTTCTCTTTAGGTTCGGTAAGAGATTTTTACAGGGCTGTCTACGTTTCATTGCTGAGAGAAGAACCTGTCTTTGTCAACTATCAGTTGATCATCCCTGTGCAGCCCCTGGAGGCCCTCAGCAGGGCCTTCTATCCCCATGTTTCGGTTGACTTTAAGAGGAGCTTGGCCTACTGGAGAACTGCAGGATGCTTATACGGTTTTTCTTGTACCTGGTATTTCTTCAGATGACGAAAGCAAGGAAAAGGAATGCTGGTGTTTAAAGGGTTAAAGGGGTTTGGGTGTAATTGCTTGTCTGTCACCTCAGACAGCTGTTACTGACGCCTCTTGGTACTAGAAGTAACTTCATATCCAACCATTTAGTACCTTTGGATATTCGTTGCCAGGTATCTGTAATGCAATCGGGCAGTTGAGTGCAACCTTCTGAGAAACGCTTCAGCACGTGCTTAAATGTGGAACGTTCCCTCTGGTGTCGATGAGTCTGTTCACGTGTTTCAGGGTTTACGGGATTAGGACTTGGGTGTTCACCCAGTAACGTATGAGTGCTGTTGAGGGCTGTGGCTCTCCTGCAGTGACTGGGACACAGCCCGTAACCGTGGAGGCTAACGCAGAGAGATGGGCATCCTGGAAAGTGTCTCACCTTTCTGTAAAGTCAAAAGGTCCGTCGAGGACATTATAGCACCACACATGTATCTAACGCCCTTTAAAACCAAAATCCCAGGAATTACTTTCAGAAATGAAAAGGCATAGAAGGAAAATTGTAAAATGAGAATGCAAGCAGAAAGCTGAGCGTTTCTTTGTGGTGAGTGGTGGAATTTATACAATAAATAAAAAAAGGCATTAGAATAAATTCAAACAGAAATGAAGAATTTTGGTGCTCCTGTGCATGTAGTCATATTGTCTGTTTTAAAATTTATACCGTAGGGTCTCTTAAGTCCCATTCAATCCCAAATTTTTTTCTATTCATTCGGACTCTTCAGTAAGGATTTCGCCATTTTAGCTGGTGTTAACAGCCATCTTAACTGTTGTGTTGGGATTAATGGCGATGACTGTGCGTTTGGATGGCCACACTACATCAGCAGTGTTCTGTGGAACAGCAGCTCGTCATTCCAGCCTGTTCTAAGATGCTGAAGGCCACACATGCCTTTAAAAGTTGACTACAATAATGATAAAAAAGAATTTGGTGCCATCTAGGGTCAAACAGAGAGACTGACTTTTTTTGTGAGCACTGACCGTGTCCAGCCTTGAGGCTGTGTTGATACTTGCAGATTTGAATTTTCTCCAGATTTGCGATATGACTGTAGATTTAATTCAGGAAATATGCCAGAATCTTAGTATTGGAGAGGTTTTAGGAAGCCGTGTGGTATAACCACTGGAGTGCTGGCCTGGCGTTTTGAAGTCCAGGTCTCCCTTTCTGCACTTATCAGCTAGCTAAGTGATCTCACAGAAATCTTTCTATGCTTCTGGGTCACACTGGCCCTGTCTATAAAAAAGAGATTATAATTTTCAGTGTAAAAGACTATTCTGAAGTCTGCTGATGCTGCACAAAACCTGGGTGATGGTGTTCATGGTAAACAGTTGGGAGTAAAGTCTGACTTCCCACTTTGTTTTAAGAATGGTCTAGACCTAAACAGATGAGTTTTTGTAATCCCTAAACGTAAAACATAATGATTTAACAAAAAGAAGGAAGAATCACGATTCCACCACCAAATCTTATCTTACATTGCTTCTGTGCGAAAGCAAATAAAAGAGCAGTATCTGGGTGCGGCTTCCCAGCAGAAGGCAAACTGACCTCAGCTGGGCCACGGGCCCTCATCTGCGACAGGGATCGCTTTGTTTCTGTCTAGACTGGTAAGCACGTTTCTCAGTAATGCCTCCCTCAGACATCCTTTTGTTCTCCACCAGAGCTCTCCCAAGGATCCCCTCAAACGGTACGAAGAGACTTTGGCTTGGCTGTCACACACAGGTGAGCCACACGTGCTGCAGGAGCCACAGAGGAGACAGACAGTGTGTGTGTGGAGCCTGGGCTGGCTGCTGCCCCCCAGAGCTCAATCCCAGTTTGCGGGGTTTTCTGTGGAGACGCGATGTTCTCTCAGTTGGGTGTCTCTGACTGCACGAGGCTTCAGGTCTGTAACTGCGGAGCTGCAGCTCTGGGGACCTTCTAGAGGTGTGTTCTGTTCACACACCCCCTGTCTCCCTGTGGGACACCTGGGCGCTGCTCAGCTCTGTTCCAAGAGTGCAGGACTAGCAAGGGGCCAGCAGAGTGGGGGCCAGCCTTCTTTCAGCTGCTTTTGACCAGAAAAGCGAGAAGGCTTTTCCACAACACCCCTTGCTCTTTGCAGAAAGAGCTAAAGAATTAGAGCCTGTCTGTGACTACCTACAAACGTTAGTTTTCCTTTAGGCAGTTAATGTAATTTTCCCCCTCTTGTCTCTGCTTAGGTTCTCTACAAAGTCTTGGTTATCTCAGATATGCCAAGTCTGTCAGAAGAGCATGATGTTCGGGGTGAAGTGTAAATACTGCAGGTGAGCACACAGTGATGATCTTTTTCAGAAGAACTTTGCATTTTATTCATTGGAGTTCGCCAGTAACACGTATCTCTTGATGTGCTGCACTCTTGGCAGTGGAATCGTTTTTTCCGTCAGCTCCTGAGCTGGCAGAGGGATGCTTTGCCACAACTGACACTTTAGGCTGACAGCCTGACACGTGGATGAACCAAATTTATTTCCCTGCCCACAAGCTTCCTACCTGATCATGGGCAAATCGTGTCGTGGGAGCCGGGCACCCAAATAACAGCGAGGAGTTTAGTTTTTGCTTCTCTCTGGGTTGTTAGTCCGGAGCACTGAGATTTTAGTGCTTCACTGGGCGCTGGCTGAGAGTCAGGGAAGGTAGCTATATTAAAAATAAATCAGATGCATCAGATGCTAAGATATGTATATGGCTGTCATTAGCCTAATGACACACATAATAGGATTTTTCATATGAATGCTTGCTGCTCTGGGGCCTGGAGCATTCTAGAACTCCTTCTGAGATTAGCATAAGAATTACAAATTAGGAGTAGGCTTCCTTTTTTTGGGGAAAGAACAAGTTGCTATTAACATGTAATGTTTCTCTTTCAGATTAAAATGTCACAACAAATGTACTAAAGAGGCACCTGCTTGTAGAATATCCTTTCTTCCCAGTAAGTAATTTTCTACACATTCTTAGCATTTCTATGTAATTGATGATATCAAAGGAATAAAAAGTCTGATTAAAGCTTTTCTCTCCCGTCTCCAACCTGTTTTTCAGTAACAAAAATAAGAAGAACAGAGTCTGTCCCTTCTGATATCAACAATCCAGTCGACAGACCAGCAGAACCCCAGTTTGGCACCCTTCCCAAAGCACTAACTAAAAAGGTACACGGTGACTGGGCGAGTGTGGCTGCGAGTCACTGGGGAGCTGCACTGAGGAGAGGTGGCTGCATCCCTGGCTGGAGCGAGAATGGCTCCTGCAGCTTTCACTTTGCAAAGAGACTTTGCTGTGTGACATTTTCTGCTTGTAAACCCCCGTTGGGCACAGCTCTGGCTGCCCACTCCCTTAGAAAACCGGTGCCATGACTGAGGCCGGGGACAGCTTTCCTTTCGCTGTTGTTCAGTAAAGGGAACTCTTTCTCTCTTTCTCTCTTTCTTTTTACTGTTTTCTCACGAGTGACTTCCCTTGCTTTGCAGGAGCATCCACCAGCAATAAATCATCTGGACTCTAGCAGTAATCCTTCTTCTACAACCTCATCCACACCGTCTTCTCCAGCACCTTTCCAGTCTTCCAACCCTCCCAGTGCAACACCTCCCCCAAACCCATCTCCCATGGGCCAGAGGGACGGACGGTTTAACTTCCCAGGTACACTTGGCTTTTCCAGAGACCTCTGCTGAGATCAGAAAGGCTCAGCGGAGGCTGACTGAGAGTTCTTAGGTGGTGCAGGTTTCTGAATATGTGGCTGTGTCTTAAGCAAGGTGTGAAGGTGTGTCTTGTTACCTGACAAAAGAAAATGGTCTGTTCTTACAAGGTTTTAAGTAGTATCAGCAAGATACCTTTGCAGGAGACAGGTTATGGAGGAATGTTGGCACCTTTCTTAAACGATTTGATTCTTCTATTTTCTCCTTTTTTGAAAGGGACTACGGTAAAAAAAAACCCCAACATTCTTTCTCCTCCCTTTTCTCCTTGTATTGTAAAACGCATGCTGCCTGCTGTGTTAGGGCACCAGTCGCTTTAACTCATGAGCAAGTAGTTTGCTAGAGCAAGACACAAAAATGAGAACTGGACCGAATTACTTGACCAGTCCCTTCCAAGAGATAACCAACAGTCAACAGTCATTTTTAAACCAGAAGAGAATTTACCCTACGTACTTTACAGATTAAGAACCCAAATGTGCAGCCTTCACCAGTGTCGACAGAGGCAAAAATCCCTGGCAAGGGCAAAGATTTACCGAGTGAGAATAAATTTTAATTCCTTTGATCTGGCAATGAAGTCACCCACTGCTCGATAGGTGCTGCATCGAGCCTTCAGCAGTGCTGTATTTTGCATCAGGCTTTTGCATCAAGTTGCTGGTTTAGCTGACTCAAAAGGAGCAGAAGCAGAGCCAGTTTAGCACAAGGATTCTACTGCAACTACTTTGTATTAGGACATACTGCTCAAATTCACTGAAATAAAAAAAAAAAGCTTGCAGATGGCTCATGAGCTTCAGCTTCTCTGGGTGCATCTCTGAAAAGCTGAAGACATAGGAGAGCATCGAAGCAGCAGCCTTCGTGTGGGCCTTTTGGCCTCCCTGGGGTCTCGAAATTTGCTTCTGCCACTTGAATTCTGAATGTGTTTTCCCACCAGACTGTTTGCTTATGGTAACCCAGCTTTCATCTCAATAAGTATCACCTGTCAGAGCCTTCCAAAAATGCATGTGCTGAAATTCACCCCCTCCAACAGGCTGATAATCTACTAATCTGTTGCCCAACAGTCAGTTGAGACTAACTCATTGAATGCATATGGGGCATGTACTGATGATCCTCTAACTTGTTTGTGTTTGTTTTGGTTTTTTTTTTTTCTTTCTCCTGGTAATTTTTTTGCTGTTCTTTTTTTTTTTAAACAAAACAATTAAAAAAAAAAGCTGCCTACTACATTCAGCATAGACAACAGTTTATCTTCCCAGGTGAGTTGATTGTTTTAATTCTACTAACCAGCTTCTGCTGCCCAAAATAATTTGTTTGTAAAATTCTGCATGCTGCCCAAGAATAATAATACTGCTTTTAAAAAGAAAAGGTATCTAAAACAGTTGAAACTTTGCCTTACCTCAGTATATATTTCAGGCCTCTCCCTCCTAATACGAGGCAGTGATGTGATTCACATAGTAAGGTGAAACTTTGAATGTTCACTTGTAAAACAGGAGCTTTCTGTGCAGGATTCTATAATTGTTTGTTCCTTGCAAAGGCTTGCTCTGAGGGTTATGTACCTGCCCTCTGTGAGGGACACGGCCCGTTCAGGAGCACTGAGCTCACCTTCACAAACTGCCTACGGGATTTAACCGTGGTGCCACACTGTGGGCTTGCACATACAAACTTCTCTGTCAACTGCTCACAAACTCTTAGAAACAGCTGGATGCCAGGTACAGAGAAATTATTCTGAATTTTGGAAGGATTTGCAGCCCAAGCTGAATTTCCTGTGCACTGGTGACACTGGACAAACCAGGTGCATTTGGAATACGTGACCTGCAGTACAGATGAATTCAAATGTTCTGGTTCTGTGAGGATTTGAGTATTTCTGGTTGTCCAAGGCCACTTGAAGGCATGTGAGCAGTTCACAGACAAGGACTGACCTTGCAGGACATTACAGGGAAGTAGGTGAATGGGGAGAAGACTGGCTTGGTCAGTATACAGGCATGTAAGTACCAGGAGAGATGAGCACAGTTTTAAATGAGCAGAAGTATAAAATCATATTGTCTGTGGTTGAGTTTACTTTATAATTCCTGAACAAGAAGTAAATAATCACTATTGCACTGTTAAAACTTCCAATCTATAAGAGATTAAAGTGTAAAAAATGTATCATGTTTCTGCTTTCCCAGAAATTCCCAGTCCTGCACAAACAGCACAGCCTCCAGAAACAGCTGCAGACACTAAGTAAGTAGTTGTAAATTCTGTTCTTTGCATGGTGTTTACCTGATAATCTTCAGACCAGCCTGAAAGCGCTACGTCATGACCAAAACTGAACTTGCATCTGAGAACTCCCAGGGTAGCTTCAGCCAGCAGAGGTGATACTGGTATTCCCAGTTCTATAAAGCTGAATATGATACTTACTTTAAATGGGACAGTAGGAAGCGTGCGTTCCCGAGGTCAGGAAGGTCTGAGGAAGTAGAAGTTGCGGGGTTTTACAGTTAAAAGCATGTGGCACATTTAGCTACAGGCAACATCTTTTCAAGGATCTGAACTGTAGGGCAGGGAACAGATTTGAGCCTCTGTTGCCAGCACTCCCACTTGCTTCCCCACTGGGGGGGGTCGGGAGTGGGAACGGGAGTAGCTGTTACTGGAACACACTGTAATAACGCAGCCGTGCCACTGCCAGATCAATTCCTGCCACTTCATCAGTGAAAACCACTCCAAAGTCTTTGTCCCTCATTTGCTAAAGTAAGTGTAGAAAGTCCTCATCTGTTAAGTGGTGCAGTAATTGTATTTTTCTCTGCCCTGCTGTAACGCTCTCAAGCTCTGTTCTCTATTTGCTTCCTTCCCCTCCGCTGACGGCACAGGTTGCAGCCCGCGTTGCTAACTCGGGTGGATGCACAAACATTATTTTCACTGTAAACCTGTCTTCTCTTGTTAGTGCTGATCATCAGCCAGACACAGATGGAGTTGAACGTGAAGCTGAGGTAGGTTTTCTGGTTTGCCCTTCTGTACAATCAGAAATGCCCTGGTGAAAGTGCAGTGAAAAGCTGTGGCCCTGGAATTACGAGTGTAGACAGGCTGTGCCGTACCCCAGCTCCACTGAGCTGTTTGTACTGCAAAGATCTCAACTGAAAATTTATGGTTTCTGTAGCTTGGCTGAAACAATTAAGTACTTGTAACAATATTTAGCGTTTTCTAATCAGGCTAAGATATTTTTCAAACTTACGGCTCAGTTTGGCACAGCTGTTTTTATGTGAGAGCAGCAGGCCTGCTCCTGAAGTTATGAGGTCTAAATGCTCTGCAGACCTCAAATCTGCCAGTCCTGCCTGTCTAAGTCCTGGCTGTGTAGGTACTCCCTATGGTCAGATTAGCTCGTGGTAGATCCTGCAAAGCAAAGGCTGTAAGCATGGGCTTATGTTTTGCCTAGGAAAGCCTTCCCATACCTATTCCTGAGTCTGTGGTTCTGGTAGCGCAGATGCTGACCTGGGTTTCCGCAGGGATGAGTAAACCCATAGAGATAGTGATTTCAGCAGAAATTATCGGGGTTCGAATCAAGCTTGTTGATATTTGGAGCATTTATCTCTAATAGGAGAATGTTAGTAATCTCAAAAAATCTGCACCCACATTTATTTGATGAACAGAGGGGTTCTTGACCCTTCCTTTTAGAACAATCTGTAGCACTTTGCCCCACACCAGCAGCCAAGTCCTGAGGGATGCTGAGCGCCCCGATGTTAGTGCTGGTTCTACAAATTTAACTCTCTATGGGACAGAGCTGTTCTTGTCTCTGCCCACACGTGCTGACACACAGAAGACCTTCTGTAGCCTTGTGAGATGACTTTGTCCCGGGAGGTTTATTTCCAGAGCCACCTTCTCTTTTTGTGAACAGGCGGAAGAACCGGAGACTACTAAATCAGAGCCTGAAGATGATGAGGACGAGGTGGAAGATTTGCCAAACAGACGGCCACACTTGCAAGGGATGATTTATCGCAAGCCTAGCCAGACCAGCGTCTACCTGCAAGAATGGGACATTCCCTTTGAACAGATCGAACTGGGGGATCCCATCGGCCAGGGGCGGTGGGGGAAGGTGTACAAGGGCAAGTGGCACGGGGAAGTGGCCATCCGGCTGCTGGAGATAGACGGGAACAATCAGGATCACCTCAAGCTCTTCAAAAAGGAGGTGATGAACTACAGACAGACCCGGCACGAGAATGTGGTACTCTTCATGGGAGCGTGCATGAACCCTCCTCATTTAGCAATCATTACCAGGTAAGGATCTAGCATCCTGGTGTTGGTTTTAATATATACATATCATATAGATACAGAATATTGATCTCGTATATGAAAATAAACCTCTCACTGCAGTCAGGAGGTGGGCAGACATGAATGCAGTCAGTGTTGCTCAGAGTTCTGGATAGTAGGGTGGTCTGCTTTTAGGCAACATACAATATTTCCTGGCAATTTTCTTTTGGAATTCTTAAGTAATAAAATTAAAAAAAACAGGAGAAAAATAAATCTGGAACAGGCAGTTCCTCTGCCATCTACTTCCAGATGGTTCCAGTTCAGCAAAGTGACAGTAAACCAACGTGTGAGGCTGGTAATGCAACAGTTACCTCTTCTCTTCTGTTCCTGTTAGGGACACTTGCTGATTAGGCAGAAATGTCACTGTTTTCCTCCCCTCTCCCATTTTCAGTCTTTAGTTGAGATGAGGATGTTTTAGCCTCTAAATAACAGCTTTTTGGGCTGTTCGTGTGCAGGCTGAGTTCCAGTAAGGGCAGGGCCGTGCCGTGCTCATAGCCCAGCAGGGAGGTTCTCCCTCATTTCTGACTGCCGGGTCCAAAAGAAAGTTTCCTGCTCAAGTGACCAGCAGCACCAGCTGCTGCTCACATTTGGAAAACTGGACTTAGGTGTCAGAGCAGTGTAACGACAACAGCCGCTCCTCCTCTGGCGGAGTACGTAAGCTTTTGTTGCATACACCTGAGCATGTTGTACGTGTGTACACCCACACCGATGTAAATCAGTTGGGTCCTTAAAGTCCTTCCAAATGGTGTTTCTCAGCAGTGGCGAAGGCTGGGATTCTGTCAGCACGATAAGAAAGCCAGCTGAACATCCGGTATTACATTCTTAATTCCCTCCCGTATTTCAGAGACCTTTTTAAGGATTGTTGTTCCTCTTCCCTGTAGCTTCTGCAAAGGAAGAACACTCCACTCGTTTGTAAGGGACCCCAAGATATCCCTGGATATTAACAAAACCAGGCAGATAGCACAGGAGATCATTAAGGTAAGAGTACATTACGCTCACAGAGACTTAGAGCCTGAACCCCTCCGCCTGACGGGGCCTGGCAGCCCGGGACTCATCGAAGCTGGCTGAAGCAAAGTGCTGGTTTAGTGGGCAGTAAGTTGTACAGGAGAAACAGACCTTGTGCGTGTCAGCAGGGGCTGAGGAGGGAGAATTTAGATAAACGGGGAAGGACATGCAGGACAGGTTTCCTTCCCAGTCTCTTCTCCCTACTGGTATCTGCAGCTCCGTGCATTCTGAAGGAGTTGGCATCTTCTCCCACATTTGCTCTGTTTTCTGTGCTTTCAGTATTTCTCAATTGAGGAGGCAGAATTATCCTGTGAATTTAGTGAGCAAACTTGCACCAGTTGTTTGTAGTTCTTACACATAGGGACTTTTCAGAACTGAGGGGTCTGCAGCTAAGGGTGCCCCTCCAGCGGCCCCGCCATGCGGAGGACGAGGAGCCCTCAACCAAGATCTGCTCCTGGGCAGATGTGCCCTTCCTGCGCAAGTCAGCTGCTGGGTCCCCATTTACAATTAATCATTTATGCTGGAGTAATGAGAGGAAATGGGTATTAGAAAGGAAAGCATGCCCAGAGTGAGAGGCTTGTAAATAATAAAAATAAAGTTTACAACTCTGCATGTATTTCCCAGGGCATGGGGTATCTTCACGCAAAGGGCATTGTGCATAAGGATCTGAAATCCAAGAACGTTTTCTACGACAATGGGAAAGTGGTGATCACTGATTTTGGATTGTTTGGAATTTCAGGTGTGGTTCAGGAAGGAAGGTAAGTGGAGGTTTCAATGCTTGGTCCTCTTCTAGAGTGATAAGTAGTGATCAAATAGGGAAACGTTTTGATGCATGACGCAGTGCGAGTGCTTTAGTACATACACACATCTTTGGAATATGTACTTTGGTTTTTTTGAGTTCTCTCTATGGTTCCCATAGCACGCTGCTAGGAAGTTATGTATGGAGTAAGACTCAGAACACAGAAAACTCTTAAGCCCAAGAATGAGCTGGAGAGTCAGGCTAACACACGTGTGTTTTAACATGGCAAGAAAATTAGAAAGGAAATGTCAGCAAAAGCATTTGAGTAAATAAAGCCGAGGCACGGGGTGAAGCTCAGGTGCAGCCCGTCCGCTGCTGCTGGCTGAAGCAGAAGTGTTTCAGTGCCACTTCCTTCTGTTGAACTCAGGCGGGAGAACGAACTGAAGCTGCCTCATGACTGGTTGTGCTACCTGGCCCCTGAAATTGTTCGTGAGATGGCCCCTGGGAAAGATGAAGACAAGCTGCCCTTCTCCAAAGCTGCGGATATCTACGCCTTTGGGTGAGTAGGAGCACCCCCGAGTACCATGGGAGCTTGCTGACCGAGCTGCGTTACAGCCCTGACCTCGGGGGCCAGCGACCCTCTCCTCTGGGCACGGGACTCCCGCCAGGACACGTTGTTCTCACCAACTGCAGAGGCCGTGGGCTGGGGCTGGGAGGGGTGGGAGGTGTTTGCTGCGCAGCCTTACACACCTTCTGGACCTTATCCGCAAAGATTGGGACAGTGTCAGGGTTTTGCATCTTTCTCTTCGGAGCAGGCCGAGGCCTGATTTGTCTGTTGGTTTGCAGGACTGTGTGGTATGAGCTCCAAGCAAGAGAATGGCCTTTCAAGAACCAGCCCGCAGAGGCGCTCATCTGGCAGATTGGGAGTGGTGAAGGAGTGAAACAAGTCCTTGCGACTGTTAGTTTGGGGAAAGAAGTCAACGTAAGTACCTCAGTTGCAAGAATCCTTCTGTATAGCTATTTATCAGGAAAAGAGGGAGCTGCTTAAAGAGGAAATTTGTTTCTATTGTAACTTGAAAGACACAGGGCAGGAGAGAAAAGAGGCTAGAAGGGGACAGCAGGTGAGATACGCAGCCCCTGCCCATAACTGCCGTATGGCAGCCACCGGCACGAGGAACGCCCGAGACCCCTCGTGAACAGCATCTGCCCGGGCTGGCACAAACGACCGTGCCCAGCCAGCCGCTTGGTCTGCACAGCTGCCCTGGGAACCAAGGGCAGTAAGAGCTCCCACTGTCCTTTGCAGGAAATCCTCTCAGCGTGCTGGTCATTTGATCTCAGCGAGAGACCCAGCTTCACGGTCCTCATGGATATGCTGGAAAAACTGCCAAAACTGAACCGCCGGCTCTCCCACCCAGGGCATTTCTGGAAGTCTGCTGAGTGAGTATCTGCTGCTCAGAAGTCACTGACTGACCATTCTGTGCTTTATTTTGCCTTCCTGGGCGCTGTCAGACCTCGATGGGGCAGTAACAGTGTGCTGTTCTGCTTTTCTAGTTAATAGGAAATGATGCAATTAAGCTCCTGTGCTTCAGGCAGTTAATTTCGTACTTAACGCGCCCACCTCCCTCCTTCAGCAGCTACCTTATCCAGCTTTAGCTCTGGTTTCAGAGCACATCTACCACCAGTGCTGGGCAGGGCCCACGCTGACCGCAGAGCAGTCAGAATTTCCCCTGTTGTGGCTGGTACTCGCTGAGGAAAGGAAGGACCAAAGAATGTGCCACTGCTGCCCTTTGAAAGTGAACCGACAAATTTCAGAAGAGTCCTGAGTTTGTGGCCTTCCTCAAGGAGCATGTGGGCAAAAACCCAGCACCCCCCCTCCTCTTGATGGGCAAGTGCCCAACTTGCACAGGCAGGTAAAGGAATGGAGCATTAGCCCTGACTCTGAGTAGTTGACTTCTGGGGAAACAAACCAAAGTAGGGGGTAATCCTGTGTCGAGTGATTCAGAAATCCTGAAGAGGCTGTAAACTGACAGCTAGGAACGAGTGGCAGTGTTCGGACAGAATCTCTAAGTTAGAATTAAGTCAAGATCTGAACCAAGGGAAGATAAACCATGAGAAGTCAGCATCAATCCCCGTCAGATCGTGATCCTGTCAAAGGCAGTTTCCGTGCTGCAGCTGGGGAAGGAAGGTCTCGCGCGATCAGGCATCCTTAAACCGAAATATAAAACTCATCCCAGCTCAGACTGGATGAGCATAAAGCCACAAGGCCTAAAACTGTCAGTCTCCCTTCTCACAAATAACCTGTCACTGAGAAGGACAGCTCCCAGTTCTACCAAAATCAAGTGGAAACAAAGCAGACACAATTTGTGGAGCCAAGAGACTGAAACCCCCCAGGCCAGAGCAGTTTTCTGTCAGTTGTCTGATGGTGACGGAGCCAGGAACACGCTCAGAGTTACGTTTTGGTGACCAGTGTTTTAAGTCTCATGTTTGTGCCCAGTGCCCATTTACTCAGTACTTATTTTAACCTACTAAACCTCTAATATTTTATTTTCTTTTTTCTCCTTTTCTGAATGTTTAATCTACCCCTTTCTTCCCCGTAACCCTTCACGATCTTCCTGCAGTACCTTAGCATAAATAACCGAACGCTTCTGGTGCTTATACAGTGACTGCCACGGCACTTTGTGCGCTGGGGGGTGTGGTGGGTTTGGGGTGAAAATTTCACCATTTGTCTCTTGTGCAATTTCCCCAACACTTGTACTGGGTCCCCGAGACATGATGATGTCCAACAGCTTTAAAATGCGAAATGCCTCTCCAAGAGCACGGCCTCAGCCTTACACAGGAGGACACTATTCTCAGCAAAGACCAAACGCTCGCTACCCCTCCTGAGAACTATCTGGTATTTTTGCCTCACACTAGACCAGTACACGTGTGTCTCGGCACTCGTTTCAAAAAGGTCCCAGAAAGGGTTGAGAGCGCCTTGGGCTGGGCCGTTCTCTGCGTCGTTGGTGAGTGGCTCTGCTGTGGCACCCGGGTGGGGGCCGGGGCGTCCTCCTGCACCCCAAGCGCTCGCTCCTCCCGCAGAGCTGTCACAGCTCCACTTCGGTCCCAGTGATTTCAATTGTTTAGATTTTTTTAAAAGAAAAATTTAAGGAGAAACCAACAAATCTGAGCTAAAAAATGGACCTGCATGTAATTAGTGCTTCTTACCTGTCCTTTAGTCAGAATTTAAGAGAAACAGTTCTTTTCCTCTCCTGGCCTAAAGCACACCAGAGCCCTACCCCGAGTACGTGCTTTGCCACTGTCCATTCCTTCAAGTCATCCAGCTTCACTTGCGACACTTCCTCCTATTTTTTTAGAACTAATCTTCCATTGCCTCAGAAGAAGATCGCGTTGTTACGAAGACAGCAGTTATTTGTCAGGAGATTTGCATGCTACAGCCGTGCCCTTTGGTAATATTTTTCCCTTTTACAGAACCACGCTGTACTCCAGCGCTATGGTTCTGTGTCAACGCTTTCATGCCCCCGTTTCTCTGTGCAGTGGGATCCACTTGCGTTGGCTCATTAGCTCTGACTGATGTGACATCTCGTCACCTCCTGAGCCAACGCTGCAGAGCAGATGGAGAGCCCAGGCTCCCTACGCCTTCCCGTGCAGACAGGCACAGGTGCCATCCTCTGACATCACGCTGGAGATGAATTTCAAGTAACCCTTCCCCTTCGGGCAGTCAGGCCACGAGAGCGCTCAGTTCCAGAGCAGCGGGCCAAGGGATTATTTTGGATTAGTGTTTCCGTAGGGAGATACTCCTGACCAGCTTGTGGACTGCAGCACGCTGTCTCAGGTAGTAGCCACCTGAATTGTTTTGCCTGGGTAGATAGTGACCCCCCCCTCCAGCCCCACAAGCGGTTCCTGCTGGTCTGTGTACATCACTGCTTAAAGCATTTAACAGGGGAGAAGGACTTGAAGTGTCCCTGTGAATGACCTGCCTCGGGCAGCTCAGGTGTCCGTCCCCCACCAGGCAGAGCCCCCCTCAGGACACCCTCCCGTCCCCTCTGACAAAGCCTTTGAGAAACACTGCACTAACCCCGTGCTTTGTTCTGGTGTACGCTTTAGAATGTGTAGTTCTCAAGGGCTTGCTTGAAATAACTGAAAACTAACTCTCACGGTGTCTTTTTCCTTTCCCTCCTGTATTTCTCTGTAGGTTGTAGCTACTGGTGCAATAACGGGCTCCACCTTGCATGCTTCCATGTGTTGTATCCTAACCGGCAACTTGGACAATCACCTTCCATTCAAAAAAGCAAAAACAAACCACGAAATTAACCCATGGACATAATCAACACTTTATCTGAATTCTCCTTTTCTGCCTTTTTCTGCTTGGTGTGGGCTGTTAGCTTGAATAACAACTCCTGTCTGCAAGAAGTTCCTGTCTAACAGCGTGCCCATCTTTGCTCCTGCAGCGGCTCGGTGGGCTCGGACCCTCCCAGCGCGGGGACGGGGCTGCGGGCGCCGCTCCTGCTGCCGGGGGCCGCTCCCAGCCGCGGGGTCGGGGCGTCTGGGGTGGAGGGAAGGGTGGTGCTGGCCCTGCCGGGGCTCAGCCGGGGCCTGCAGAAGAGGAGGAAGGCAAGAGCACCCTCCAGTTGTTGGTGTTCCTCCCCCCCTTGCAAATCCAGTGCTTTGAACTTCACGATTCGCTTCTGTTTACATCCCCTGTTCAGCAAAATGTCTGACGTAACGTTAGGGGCTTTGTGGAATTGTAGGTAACACAGCAAATATGTGCCTTTCAGAAAAGGTCTTGTTTTCATTCTTTACCAATTCATCAGTTTGAAAAAATACCTTGTTTGGGAGGGGAGAGGGCAGGACCAGAGGGGAATACGCACCAAGAGCCAGGGAGGTTTCTGCTGTCAGTGAGGACAAACCACCCCCCCAGTTCATTCTCCCAGAATCTCCTGCAAGAGCTGTTGGGGTCGCTGTGGCACCCGCGGGCGTGCGGGGGGAGACGCGGAGGCAAAAACGCTTCCAGCTCCGCAGAGTTTAAGGGTGAAGGAGAGACGTTACACGCTTACTACAGCCTCTAGAGAGAGGAGCAAGGGGGTTTGGGGTACTTTGAACCAACTGGTGTACCTTGTCAAAACACCCCTTTCTCTTAAAAAGAGAATTCTGTAAGTAAATTTTTTCCTTCCCTTCTACTCCAAAGAAACCCAGTGCCTGTTGAAAACAAGTGTTGGGCTTTACCTGCCTTAGGAACTTCGGGAAACCTCCTCTTTCTCCCATTTGAGGCAAATCAGATTTGTGCTGTTTGTTTTCACTGATGAGGTTCGCATGAATAAGTTCATGTGTTTGCTGCTTCATTAAGCCTCTTTTCTGGGTGAAGTTGTATGAGATCAGAATCTAACCCATTTTGGTTCCTTTTATAGGGCTGTAGCTTTGTGAGAAAAATTAAAAATAAATAACTCTTTCCCCCCTCCCTTCTCCTCTCCCTCCCCACTCTTTTCAGCATTAACAGTAGCAAAGTTGTTCTGCGTTTTGAAAGATTTGGCTTGGGAATCCTGGAACCAAGTAATCAAAAGCTATAGCGTGGTGTGTGATTGGCGTGTGCTCGTGTTGTCTGCCCGCTTACACAAAGCGTCAGAAACCTCCACTGAACCTCCCGAGCTCAAACTGGTGCAGCCCCCGCCGAAAGCCGCGCGACCGTCCGCTCAGTCCCGTGTCCTTGTAAAGTCTCAATTCCGCCTGAGCACCAGCAATTATTTAAAGAATGTTTACATGATACTTTTGTGTGAACTATATTTTTTTAAACATAATAAACGGTGAATCGAGTTTAACTACAGCCATTCTCAAATAGCACTGAAAAAAAAAACAAACCTATTTCTAGTTCCTCTTTGTGTCTGTGGTAAATAGGAGCTATCTCCTGCCTTCAGAGAATTTGTTTTCCCCGAGAGAAGTGGAACAGGCTTGTTGCAGAGTGGAAATGCTTCAGGTGCAAGGGCCCGAGTGCTCCCGAGTGCAGTTTTCTTTCGTTAAGGTAAAACCTCCGATCTGTGGCGGTGACTTGCCCAGAGCGAGCGCTGAGCTCGGCAGGGTCGGGCAGGCGCCGGGTTATGCTGGTACAGATCAGCTCCCGGGAGCAGAGTGTCTGAGTGTGTGTCTCCCTTGAAGACTCAAGTGCTCTTCTACACAGAACTCACAGTAAAAGCTCTTGTTCTCATACAATCCTGTACGAAGCTTAAGCCTTGTTGCCCTTTAAAGAAACAAAGCCATGACTTGCAGCTCTGTGCACAGGGGCCAAATTCTTTGAAGATTTAGGCACGACAAGTTCCGGTCCCCTAAACTAGTGCCATTTCTGGAAACACAGTGCTGGCCAACCAGCCCCGACTCCTACTGCCCCATCTCCATTTCACTTGTAGAAGACAAGACCTTTTCCAGAGCTGCAGGGCGAGGCAGGAGAGGACAAGGGAAACGACCATCCCTAAAAAGTGCTTTGAATCAGGTCTGGATGCACCGAGCTCCCTAAGAGACTCAGAGTCGTTCCCCACACAGAGTGCTGGCTCCTGCTGCTGGTCACATTTAAGTTTGCAAGCTGTTTTTAAAAATTAAGGACTAAAGCAGTTATTCTGGGGAAAACTAAGAATGACAGAAATCTTGCAACTGGGAAAGTTGTAACTTGTTCTAGAGGACCCGACTCAGCCCATCAGCTCAGCCCAGTTTCAGAGGTTAACTTGAAGACAACTCCCTCTCCCCGGGGACGAATTGCCCGCAGCAGCCTTGGCAGAGGCTCCTTCCTGCCAGCTGGGCAGCGCGGGAGCCCCGCTACCCGTGAGCATCCAGGGCCTTCGCTCGGTTACAGCTCCCTGGAAGTCGCCCAGTTCCATTTCTCCAGCAGCACCAGGAGGTTGCACCCCCTACACCTTTCCCAAGGGTCTGACGAGAGGGTCGCGCTGGCGTCCCCTCAGGCAGAGGGACAGACCCACACTTTGGCTCCCTGCGGGTGCCTGAGCAACTTCTGTGGGGAATTAAGGGGCAAAAATCCTGCCCGAGTTCTGTTGAGCAGAGTGCTTCGCTCCTCCTGGGCGCAAGTCAGTTACATTCTCTTATAAATATTTTCAGAGTCACTTACAAAATGCGTGTCAGACAGAAAAGCACAGCTGGGTTTGGTGGTAGCCAGGCGTGGCACTGCGGTACTCTTGACCTTCCTCTCCCCACCTTTATAAAGCAAATAAATCCCCTCCCGCTCTACCACGTACTTAACCTACACCACTTGGTTCTCTTCAAGATGCTACTGTTTGTTCTCTCACAATAATTTGGTGCGTCGGCAGTTTTAAGCATAAGTATTTTCCCCAGCAAGTCCTGCCTAAAGAACAGCACAGCACCCACCTAAGGCGGGGCGAAACGTGCTGCTGCCCACCGGTACCGTCACGCACCCGCGGCCAAAACGCACCTTGGAGGCAGCGGCTGCTGGGGGCGGGTCGTGGCCACGCAGCCGGCGGCTCCCCCCAGCCCTTCGCCCCCGGCTCTGGGGGCAGCAGCCTCGCTCCTCACCGCGCTCTCTATTTCTGCCACCTGCGCGTCAGGCGGGTGCCAACCCCCCGGGCTCCGCGGGGCAGAGCTGGGGCCAGCGCTGGGGAAGCAATGTATCAATCGATTCCAGATTATTTTCTAAGATGACGACTGGCTAGGAGAAGGACAGCCAGCACGGGATGACCAGACAGATTAAAACAAAATAATACAAAAAAACAACAAAAAAAACCTCATTGCCATTATCCTTCCCCTGCCTGCCCTCGGCTGTGACACCAACACCGTCTGCCCAGCCCCGGCTCTGCCAGGGCCCCGGGTCCAGCACTTGCCTGGACCCTCCTGCCCCCGCGTGCTGCGCGTCAGAGCGTGCCGGGGAGACGCGTCCCAGCTGAGCGCTGCCCTGGGAGCAGGAGGGGCGGCAAAACCTGCTTTAATCCCGAGATTCGGGGTTCTAATTCAGCCTGACCTTGGTTTTGTGTCTCACACTCGTAAACTGCTCTCAGAAGCAAAACGCAGCCCCTGGGCCCGGCCTATCTGAGAGACTGATGCCCGTCTCTGGGATAATTTTTGTTTTAATCTGCTGGTGTAAGACGCGCGGCGTGGTGCGGCTGCCACGGGCGCGGAGCCCCCCGGCCCTCGGCAGGTGGCAAACAGAGCAGCAGGTGTCGGGGGCATTGTCCCGTCCCCGGGGTGCGGGTGCCAGGGCGGGAGGGGCGGGAAGGCCGCGCCCCCCGAGTTGTAAATGTGAAGCTGGCTGTACAATGCTGCTACAAAGCCACACGTCAGTAGTGAATGTAAATGGAGTCTGTAATACGGTGAAAATGGACACGTTTTCTTTTCAAATGTGATGTAAACTTTGTACAGTAAAAAAATTTTTTTTTATATTTTCTATCAACTGAGTGTCTTCCAGAATTGCTATTAAATTAATTAAAAATTGTTAGTATTAACAACAGTTTCTGTATTAGTTTATGCAACCAGCAAAAAAAAAAAAAAAAAAAAAAAAAAAAAAAAAACACTCTATGCTAATGAAATTCTGGATATGTAGGAATCTTTTCAGTGAATAAACCTTTGCTCTGGATAAAGCAAGTGGCACAGAACTGTGGTTTCACGTTTTTCCCCCCATCTACAAGCAGATTTCCCGCGTGAATGCGCGGCACCGAGCGCAGCGCCGGAGCCCGGCGGGACGGGGCAGCCTTGCAGCTGGCGGCGCCAGGTCCCGCGAGTTCACACCCGAGAGACCCAACAGACGCGCTCGGTGCCCTTTGGCTCCCTCTGGCCCTGCTGGTGGCCACCCCCGGGCAGACGATGGCCTGACGCCCAGGGGAACTCGCTCGGCAGCGGAACAGGCTCCGCGGTTCGAAGCCGCGACTAGAAAATGGGGAGGGGGGTGTAGGAGAAGAGGGGACAGACCCAGCCAACAGCCCAGCTGCCCTGTCACCGGCTCCAGTGTCACTTGGCCCATCCCTCTGCGCCCTCTCCCTCCCCTCGCTGTCCCCAGCAGAGCAGTCCGAGGGGTTTTCCCGTTTCCTTTGCCACACACGAGCCGGACGGGCTGGGGCGATGCAGAGCGGCCGGGGCGGCCTTTGGGGAGTCAATGGCCGGAGCGGGGACCCCACGAGGGGCCGGGGCAGCCCCGGGATCAGCCCCCTCCGTGGCACCGCCGGGGCTGTGCCGAAGCCACCCTGCCCTGTGCCGAGCTCGGCAGAGCCGGCGGGGAAGCAACCGCGTGGTTAAAACCCGTCTCTGAATCGGGCCGGAGCCAGCAGCTGTCGGAAGACGATTCCTGTTTCTAGAAATCCTGTTGCAACAGAGAAGCTCTTGGATGAGGTGCTGAAGCAAAGGGGGACAGGTCTCGGGTTCAGCTCATGTAAGAAAAAAGAACTAAGGAGCGTTACGGCTTCCCCCGAGCCCTCGCGGGGCTCACAGCGCGCTTCCACCAGACTGACCCCAAGTTGCGGCCTTTGAGCCCGTTTGCTCTCCTGCCGTTCTGTTCCCCGACACCCCCGGCGTGGTCTCTGCCCCGCACAAGCGTTCCGCAGCAAACCGCAAAAGGAGGGGAGGGCCGGTCGGTCCCTGCCGCCCCGCACAAACCCTTCCCTGGGCTTTGATGGCCTCCTCGTGGCTACTGCCCTGCCTGCAGCCGCCCCCCACAGCCCCTCACCCCAGTGGACGAAGCCAGTTGAAGACCTTGAATCCATTCACGGGTCTCAAAGTTTTCGCTCCGGGGCTGCCGACACCATCAGTGAGTTTTCTCGAAGCGCTGAGCCACACTGAGGTGCTGCCTCCCACCCACACGCCCCCCGGGGTGCTCCTCAGACCCCCATCGCTGTCCCCCCCTTGCTCTGTGTCCCACCAGCGCCCACAGCAGGCCTCTACACACGGGTTAGTCCTGGCCTAGCCTTAAACCGGGCCTGGCCAGGTCCTCCTGCCTCGTGGGGATCCCGTCCCCACTCAGGGCTGTTGGCTCTGCTGGGAGACGCAGCCGCGGCCTCGTGTGACTACCAGGAGCTGGGCACGTGCCCGGGCCCTGGCCAGAGCCACCGGTGGCACCTGGGGCCCGGCGGGTCCTGCCACCGCCTTGGCACTCGCACACACCGAGGCCCCTTCGCCCTCCCCGGTGGCATCGCGGCACGTTAATTAATCCCAGGAACGTTTCGCTGCTGCCAAACGGCTTCATGCTGAACATAACGGCAGCATTGTGCTGCCGGCAGGGAAAAGGCCATGGCTTCATAAAACCACAATTTTACATTTCATCCATCTTATCTAGATCTTTCATATGCAACCAATAAAAAGCTTAAGATAAGTTGAGCTTTGTTGTCTTTCATAAAGAATAAGAAATAATGAATTTCACTCTCAAACTTGAAGGGCAAGGGGTTTTTAAAAAAACCCAACATCCTCAAGTATAAAGGTTATATTCCCCCAGCTGTGAACTAGACGGTTTGGTAACGTTCTAGTTGACGGTTTGGTAACTAGAACAGTTTGATAAAACAGTTTGGTGATGGTTTTAAACTGACAGAGAGGAGATTCAGATCAGATCTGAGGCAGAAATTCTCCCCTGTGAGGGGGGTGAGGCCCTGGCACAGGCTGCCCAGAGAAGCTGTGGTGCCCCCTCCCTGGAAGGGCTCAAGGCCAGGTTGGACGGGGCTTTGGGCACCCTGGGCTGGGGGAAGGTGGCCCTGCGCGGGGCAGGGGGTGGCGCTGGGTGGGCTGTAAGGTCCCTCCCAACCCAAACCCGTCTGACTGTGCCATCTGCCCGGCCGTAGTTACAGCCCGGCACTCGCAGCCCAGCTGGCGGCTGCACCGACGCAGCCCGGTGCCTCCCCTCCTCCGCGGAGCAGCAGCTCAGCCGGGGCAAAGGCCAGCGGCCAGCGGGCCCAGGGGCAGCGCCCGCCCCGGGGGAAGCCTCTCCCTGCACAACTGCTCTGCTCTGGGATCAAGAGACACTTTAATCCCGTCGCTGCGTGCACAGAGTCTGCAGAGACAAGTGGCATCTGACAGCGCCCCGGAGATCACGAGCAGCATGTGGCGAGTCACCCTGACACCTTCCGTCAGAAAAAGGTTCTCCTTCACACCAAAATAACCACACGATGCCTCCCACGTCCCCTCACCACCTTCATTCCCACCAAGGGCTTGCAGCAAACATTGGCCTTACTTGCTCTGCCACGAGGATTTTGCGTCTCTGGGGTTTAGACTCCTTGTCAGGCTGAAGGCAGGACATTGCTCTCCCCAGAAACCCAGGGTTTGGGCAGAAAACCACAGGCAGTAGCACTTGCTGAAACCCTCGGGGGACGACGACTTGCTTCCCCTGTTACATCTCCGCTTCCCCCACCCGGATCTGCTGCGGCACTCCTGCTGCTCCTGCCCAGTTTAAGGATTTGGATCCACCGCGATGCCCCGAGCTTCGGGGTGGCCGGGAGGGGACAGCCCGGGGGGGCGCCCACCCGCGGGCTCCCCGAGGTCGGAGGAGGTGTTGCCCTGCCCCGGGCTCCGGTTCAGAGACAAGATCCCACACGCAGCTTGACAAGCCATTATACGTCAGTAAGGCATCACCAAACATTAGCAGCCATCTAGGCAGCCTAAAGCACATTTTGTTAGAAAAAACTTAAATACCCGTCTCCTGCTGAAAGCCTAAAAACACTTGTTAGCCTCTGATTTATACAAGACAGTGCACTCCTCCAGCTCCGATCATATTCTTAGATTTCAGCAATACCAAAAAGGCACCTGAGGCACAAAGCAAGCATTCTGGCAGGGCAAGTCACCTACTTGGGCACGGAAAGTTCACCTGCTTGTGCAGTGACGTGCCTCCCAAAAGGGCACAGAGCGTATTCGCACTCTGAAGTCTGGAATTTACTTGTCCTTCCTACTTTGGTTGGCCTCATGTGAAGTCTAGGGCTTGGTGAGCCCCGGGCTTATGGAGAACTTCCTTAATGGGCAGTGCAATTCCCCTGTTCCATTTCCATCCCACCCCGAAAATCTAAAATCAGAAAACATCGGTTAAGCAATAGCAGGACATAACCCTGAGGGAGTGCCCATACCGGTGCCCATCAGGACTCCACACCTGCCAGGAGCTCCTCTGTGCTTTACTCGCTCTGGGGTACGTCCCGTCCTCTGCCATCCCTGTCCACACTCTCTCTACGCTGCACTTTTGATCTCATGTCTAAGGCTGTCCCGGGGCACATGTGAAACACACTGTACACACACGGCACTGCTGAGTCTCCTCATTCCTCAGGTTCCAGCTCCTGGAGACAAGGGACGACAGGAAAATCTCACCTTAGGCTTTTTTATTATGATCATATAGGCCTGGTAATTTTAGAGAAAGAACTAAGAGCTCTGACATAACCGCCAGGCATTGGAGGAGCCAAGTCAAAATATAACTAGGGCAAAACATATCTGCTCTCATTACTATTTTATATTCTTGCCGTTTGCAAGCCAGTCTCACAACCTGTGGTGAAAACTCACACCTCCCTGGCAGTAACAAACCTCCACAAGTGATCCTGGGCAGACTGCGTCACTCCTGGGCCGGGCTCCTTGTGGAAGCAGTGCTGGCTGGAGCCCAAGCCCACACCACCAGACCCCGAGAACAAACTCGGTTTTATAGGCTGAAGACAACAGCAGAAAGAGGTACGTTTAATCCACGCCAACTTGCTTGTCTCAATATAAAGACATTTTTATTACAAAACAAATCAAGTGAATCAGAGCGTAGAATCCAAACGTACAAAGTGCTTCTGAATTTTCTGAACCTTACTGCCATAACCTCTGTGACAACAGCAATTCAGGTTCAAGTACCTGAACGACAAAGGAGAACTCAAAGCTACTACCTCCTCACCTACGCACGTCTGAAGTGCAAGCAGCAGGTATTCCCACTCACAAACCATTATATTATCATCGCGTTTGCAAATATTGCTTCAGATTCAGCCAGGCGTGGGACTATACATTTCCAAGGGACAAAACAATTTACTTGCTTTAAAGTGAAGATAATATACACAGTAAAACCATCTGATATAAATAAATTCACAGAGGTAAATGGTACACTTCTGAAAGAGATCGGGTTCTAGCTTGCATAATAAAAAACACTAAATCTTCTTTGCGTTTGCAAAAATATCAGATTTACGCTAGCGCAGACAGTATTAAAAAAATAATTTGCGTTTTCACTATTAATCCATTAAAAGAAGTCTCAGAATAAATATCCATAAAAGTTAAATTTAGTACTTTTCTTAATTAAGGCTGAGGTTTAAAAGCCAAATCCTACAATTGTATACATGCGTATGATTTAACACGTATAAGAGGATTTGACCCCTTGTCTTTTGAAAATAACAACAAATGTGCAAAAGTATTGCCTAAAACATAGGTTGATTTGTTCTCGGACTGGTGGGTTGCAAAGCTCTTACACCTCTTTTGACTTCATGCGGGAATGCAGCCCCGAAGATATCTTCATGGTATCGCTTCTGGCTCTGCAAAAAGGAAAGGAAACCCCAGAGGTGAATGAACTGCTGCTAGCTCCTCCTTACCTAAGGGACAAGTGGCTGGTAGGGCTGGGATCGGGGACTTTGTACCGTCAGGAGGAGCCTGAGTCCCAGGCCCCGTTCCAGGAC